TCATGGATTCATTGGAACTTGTCTGTCTGAAGGCCTACTGCAATGACAGATATGTGCCATCTGGTTACTTTCTATGAGGTCGGTGGGTGCAATACACCATCATATTGTGCGAGACCTGTTCATTCTGATGAGAGAGAACTTTCAGCGGCAGATAATGCATACACGTACCGGCCACCATTCATACTACAAGAAAATAGGCATCCTACGACTATGCAAGCGCTAGTTTGTGCGAATTCGTGAGTGAAATCCATCGAGATGATGGGGGGAGGACAAGGGGTACAGCCACCAACCTTCACCACTGTACATGTCCCACCAGCGCCCGCAGCCTGCAGGTTGACTCCGATGATTACCTGCAGGCCAACTTCACCATCCACGGCGACGATGCGCGTGAACCTTGTCACTGTGACGGCAACCGCGAGTAAAATTTCGACTACTCGCTGGCTCGGAAAGTGAAAAAGAGGTGAGAGTAAAAAACAACCAACGGCTGTATTGCTCACTTTTTTGAATTGTTTTCAGTAGTATTCTCCCTCCACGCCGCGCATTTTCACCTACCAGTCGTTTGTTGGAGCCCTTGCAACGGCTTTGTTTTTTCAGTGTCGATTGGACGACGTTTGCACGTACGTGGCTCTTCCAAATACCAACTTAATGCGACTCACTCATCTTCACTTACTCGATAGAGATCAGACCGCCGAGCCATATGAACAACCCATTCGCTGACATCTCCCCTCGCGCTTTAGAGGCACCTATGTCCTCAGAGAAATTGCTGAAGGCCCTCAGAGAATGTGCTTCCCTCCCCCTCTCAGCGGAGATCTCAAATCACATCCAGAACGCCCAATATGACGTGAACCTGTTTGCAAGCTGCATCGAGCAAATGCGCATTCGCCTGGCAGTTCTCCAACGTGATATTGGATGGTATGGTTCCCTGCGTTCCCCCATTCTCAAGCTCCCTCCAGAATTGCTTCGGCAAATTTTCGGATTTGTGTGCACTCTCGACCGGGCCCGGACGAAAGTTGCTCAGGGTTTATATCAAGGGCATTCACCATCAGTGCCGTTTGTAATCGGTGGAGGGTCATCACATTGTACTCACCAGAACTGTGGACCAGCTTGGAAGTCACGCTCCGGCCACAATACCTGCATCCTTTACGCCTGGCTATCGCTCGTTCCCAACAACTTCCACTTTCACTCGTCCTGGACGATTATTATGACCCAATCAAGGAAGCCGAGGAGGTGCTACGCTTCGTGTTGCAACACTCTTGTCGCTGGCTTCATATTGACTTGATAGGCATAACCCCGCCTACCATCACCATGTTAGAGAACGCCAGCACTCCTGTGCTGGAGTCAGTAACCTGCCTATCGCATCGCATTGGGATGATCTTCGATCACCTTCTGCCCTCCCCGTGCCTCAAATACATCAAATGCAAAGGCACGATAATGGACTTCGAGCCTTTCGAACAAGTGGAATTTTTTCCATGGGCGACAATACGCCATCTGGACATGGATTTCAGAGAGGCAACCGAGCCTCTGGCGGTGTCTGATATCCTGCGCTTCGGACAGGAATTGGAGTCGTTGGTCTATTCTGGTGAAGCAGCTATTGGAGATGTCGAGGCCGAGCCCCACAAACTATCCGACGACCTCCCAGAACCTATCGGCTCCAATCTCGCAGCTCTCGCAATCCGCTTCAGCGATATCGAAGGGTTTCACGACTTATTACATGATTTCATTCAGTGCGTTATACTACCACGTCTGGCCAAACTCGAAATCTCGTTCGTCACACACATCGGGAGGAAAGAAAGCTTGCATGAAAGAGCTATATGGCCGCGTCAGGCCCTTTTCGACTTCTTCGAACGTTCGGGTTGCAATCTCACAGAGTTGATCCTGCAAAAGACGCCTTTGAAGGAGTCGGATCTCATCTCTTTACTCCAACTCACTCCATCGCTCCGCTCCTTCACCTTCAGCGAGCTATGGAGCGCAACATACATCAAAAAGCCTCAGCAAGAACTCCTCCACACCATCACCCGCTCTTTCCTCAGACGTCTTGAAGCGCTTACCTTCACCGTGGATGCGTTTTCAACTCATCATTTTCTCCTTCCGAAGCTCAGATACCTTGAATTGGGAGTACAGTCACACTTTGACGCTGATGAAGGGTTTGTGGAGGTCGTCAGGTCGCGATGGGTTCGATCGAATGTTGGTGATGTGTTTCCCGCTGCCGAGAGGTTGAGGGAGGTCGTGCTGCGCGTCGCGGGCAAGAAGGTGGACGAGGACATATACGCGCCGCTGAGGAGAATGAATGAAGAGGGGTTGATGATAAGTGTCTTCGGGAACGGGGTACGCGTTGCATGATTGGTTTCGAAAGACTCGGAGCGAATCAGTTCTGCTTGTTTCCTCTCCATTGAATCGGCTCGTCATATATTCCACTAGAAGTATAATGCATACTACACACCAAGTACCGCTAATCTCCCCTCGTCTGAGATTTACCGTATAACGCTTCAGGACGCTTTGGCTTATGCGAAACTTACTGAAAGAGAACACAATGACGGTAAACTTGAGAATGCGCAGCACTGCCACACAATAGCTCTTCACCACCTTCCACAACGACGCACGCGTGAACGGCGAGAACCCCGACGGCAGCAACACACTCTGATCATTGGATAACGTGGCCAAGGTAGGAATCACTCCAGATTTCTGTTGCTCGTAAAGCTGAAACGTCCCTGCGTAGTTATATTGCATCTTGAAGGTTCTGAACTTCAGCGTCGATCCTGTCGAAGTTGAGTTTGAACGCGTCACAGGCCAACACAACCGGTATCTTCTTCATTTTGCTCAATAATAATCTTCTAATCGATGCCTAGATCAACTAACTCGACCCATATGGGCTCCATATTTCCAGACATCCACCCTCGCGCTCTGAGGGCACCTATACCTACAGACGAGCTACTGAGAACGCTCAGGGGGTACACTATTCCATCCTCCTCCGCAGAGGAGGTGTCGACATACATTCGAAACGCCCAGTACGACTTGCGTCTATTCGACAACTGTATCGATCAATTGCGTATCCGTCAGGCCGCTCTCCGACGTGACATAGATCGTTGTGGCTCTCTACACTCTTCTATTCGAAAGCTTCCTCCAGAAATCCTTCGGCGCATTTTCGGGTTTGCTTGCGCTCCAGTCCCCGCCAGTAGATTTGCACAGTACACGCCCGGGTTCGTTTCTGAAGCATTCACCTGAACGCCGTTTGTTGTCGATGGAGGGGCGTTGCGTTATATTCACCTGAGGTATGGGCCAACCTCGACGTCAACCTGCGCAAACGGACCTTTCATCTGGTGCGCCTGGCTTTTGCTCGTTCTCAACAGCACCCACTTTCATTACGCATAACCGACCAAGACTTCACGGGAGACGAAGGCAACGAAGAGCCTGAGATTCTCCGTTTCCTCATAAAGCATTCCCACCGCTGGGCCCATGTGGATTTCTCAGACGTCTGCCTTGACTTCATTGAGCTGTTGCAAGGTGTCGGTCCCACCCCTCTGCTAGAGTCAATCGTCTGTCCACCACACCGTACCACAGAAATCTTTGCTTATCCACCTCACTCCCCACGCCTCAGGCATTTCGAGTCCGAAAGCCAATTTTACGACTTCATGCCTTTTAGGGACATCGATTGTCTCCCGTGGGACACAATCCACCATCTAGACATGGCTTTTGAGGAAGCTGTTGAGCCGTTGGCAGCTTTGGACTTGTTGCGCCTTGGTGTGGGCTTACAGTCGCTTGTCTATACTGGGGAGGCTGTTGCTGGAGTCCACGAGAGAGAATCTTATCAGCGTTCTGACGACCTTCCAGATCCCGTCATCTCCAATCTCACAGCGCTCGCCGTTCATTTTAGGGACGTGGGAGGGTTTTACAACTTGCTGCATGACTTCATCCAGTGTTCAACACTCCCATTACTCGAAAGCCTTCACATCTCTCTTCGAGGACATACGAGGAGCCTGGATATTGATTATCAAGGGAAATGGCCTCACACGGCCATCTACGACTGCTTCGAACGTTCGGGTTGCAACCTGGCGAAGCTGACGCTGGAAGGAATACCGCTGAATGACTTGGATGTCATTGCTCTAACCAAGCTCACTCCATCGCTCCGCTCCATTACGCTGATTGAGCCGCCAGCCACAGTGTACAAGAAGAAAAACCGGCAGAAACTACTACAGACGGTCACTCGAACCTTCCTCCAACGTCTCGTGGCCCCTACCTTTGTAGCCAATGCGTTTTCGACTCAACAGCCTCTCCTTCCGAAGCTCAAATACCTCAAACTCGAAGTCCAGTCTCATTTTGATGCCGACCAAGTTTTCGTCGATCTCGTTAGGTCAAGATGGACTCGACCGACCGCTGGCCAGGGTGTACTCTCCGATACTGCCACAGAGAGATTGAGAGAGGTCGTCTTGAACGTCATGGATCGGAAGGTGGATGAGAATGCATATGTGCCATTGAAAAGGATGGACGAGGAGGGGTTGATGGTCAGTGTCTTTGGGAACCGGGAACGAGTCATATAACTGCGTGAACTAGTCAGTTCAGTTTGAACACGCTGACCCAGAGATGAGGAAGCGGTTGGGAAGCGGGTTGTTTTTTGTATGTACCGCCTTCGGTCTGATAAGCTCACCAATGTAACACCTCATTCTGGCCCCTGATAGCCACGACTTCATTCTAGTTTCCAGAGGCAGTGTCGCCTTTTTTTCGTGCCGTCTTCACTATCAGCGACCTCTGAGCTGCTTGGATATTTCACTCAAATTACAGTGTATGACTTGAGAGGAGTCGGAACATCCTGCGCTATACTTACTGTACACTATCTTCTTTTTGTCGGCTCACGCGCGTCTCAAAACGACACATAGTCAACTACCTACAGCATACAGGCTCGAATTATCAATCAGGTGTTCTATGCTTCCCTCCTGCGCGAATTTTGACGGGATAATTTCGACGATACAACGAGAGAGAAAAATGAAGTCATTGAAATAGTGTCACTCCCTGGCTGGGAGTCGAACCCAGCTTTCGCGCGATGACCACTTTGGATTGTGACAGGCGCGTGTACTAACCGATATACTACCAGGGACTTACTATTGGACGCGCGGGCATGTACTATGGATCCAATGTAGTGACGTAGAACACAATAGAAAAAGGTCGAGATACATCAGCATGCAAATCTGATACTATAGGATGCTAAGCCAGCTGCGGAATCTTCTTCAATAAACTGTTCTCCCCATCCGACGTCCCTTTGTAGCGCACCAAGGGATTTGAGTTTTCACCAACCTTGGACTGGGGAAAGGATACATGTAAAGAGAACAAATCAGGACGCGAGCTATCGAATCGGATTGGTCGCGTTAGCTATCTTACAAGGGGGTCCCAAGCAGTCCAAGACTTACTAATGTCCAACCGGGTCCACTGTCAATTTGGCCATCCGTAATTGGTCCAAGTCGATATCAGCGTAGAGTATTGTCTCTTCACCAGGGTCGACGGGTGGGGTAAGTTGTCTTCCGTCGGGTCCGTAGATAGCTGCAAATCCTCCTCCGTTCTGATCGGGAGAGGGAGAGGATAAGGATAGGGATAAGGATAAGGATAAGGATAAGGATAAGCGAAAACACGGATCAGTCATAGGGCAAAAGCAAATTGCGAGACTATCTACCTTGGGATTCCAAGGCGTCCCTTCGAGGCTATCAACTACGTTAGCCATCTTCAAGTCGGAATTAGGAGAGCCTCAACCAACCCACACAATCCCGCGTTCTCGGGTTTAACCAACTGTGTGCTCGAAACCACAAACATGGGTCCCTCCATTGCCGCGAACCTAGCAGCCGTCGTCTGGAAGTCAGACGAGAACTGCGGAACAGCTCCACTAGCGAGGGAGTCGCAGAACGGCCAGCTTGCTACGTGAATTTGCACGCCTTGGCTGTAATGGTGGAAGCGGACGAGGGGTTGGAGGTGTTCCCTGTAATCCCGATTCGGTGATGAAATGAGGTCAAAACGCCAATAGTAAAGGATTACTGGAGGTCACTGACCAGCAATTGAGACACCCAATGATGGTACCCTCAGGACCTTCAATTGCGGATTTAATGGAATCAGCTAAAAGTAATGTTGGAGATCAGCGTGGGATATAAGTACTAGCGAGTTTTACTTACCCGGAGCATCACCCCAGATGGTTCGCTCATGACCTGTCGCTTTGAGCTTCCGTCGATGCAACACAACTTCTCCGGACGAGTTGATGATACTTTGTGCGGCGAACATGCTATGACCGTCGAGCTCCACGAATCCAAGTACGACCCTAACGAGGGAAGCCACGGTTATTCAGCGTCGTAAATGGTACCAGCGTGGACCGTATCAGAGGCACTCACCAGATCTTAGAGTCCCTAGCAGCCTTCAGAATACTCTGAAACTGCTCAGACTTGACGCTCAGACACGCCTTCGAGTATTTCGTAAAGAAGAACGGGTCGAAGGGTTCAGCCCATATACGCATCGGGTAGCCTGGGATGAATGATTCGGGAAAGCCGATGAGTTGGGCTCCGTTGGAGGCAGCTTCTTTGATCAAGGAGATGGTCTTGAGAACACAAGCATCGAGGTCGAACCAACAAGGCTCAGACTGGATTGCAGCTACTCTGCAGAGGAAGAGAATCAGTCCTGGCCGGTCTGAAGTACAGTGATCGCGCTCACTTCATCGCAGTTTCGAGGGTTTCTTCTGAGTAGATTGGAGGGGTATCGAGATCCCCAGTTGAGACTGCACCGATAGGTTTAAAAAGGGCGGTGGTACGGAACGGAGTAAGTCCCGAGATAGAGCAAAAGCTCGTAGATATGGCTAAAAGATTTAACGGTCAAGGTCCGCACATGGTATAGGAGTATTAAGGATCCAAGTCGTACTATGACTGTTTGAGTTGAATGACACCACGAACACCACAGATTTGGACTCACCTCATTGGTGAAGTTTCCGCATCCCATTCCCGTACCAGACGCTTATCATGATACCCTTATCAGGCTTCAACGTACGCCCCAACTCTTGTGCTTGCCAATGCCAATTCACTCATCCCACCAAGAGTCGCCAGTCCGATCCTGTGACCCTCCACTGCTAGTAGTATAGTCGGCCGAGGTTGAGGTTTGGGTGATCATCGCATGTAAAATGAAAAAACGATATGACGGTGGCCAATCGCAACGCGGCCCAATCCTCGTACGAAAATCAAGGTTTGATTGGTTGCCCGTAGACTTGACGAATAGGAGGAGCCCATACCGAACAAGGTGCTTGGGTTTGAGTTAAAACGTCGAAGACTCACGGATAACGTACACGGATTCGAGTAAATTGTAAAGAGCGATTTTGTGGAACAAGTTGAGGCAAATTTAATCGCAGGAGTGAAAATGCCAGCGTGATAGAATTCGAGAACCTGTCGGAGTTTGTGTCACTGTCAGGATCCCTGCAGAAGCGGGGGTGAAATGATGGACGACAAACTTAGTCCGACTTTGGAGTCAAAGTTTCTTGTTGAAGTATTTTGGACCTTGGTTTGGAGTATGCATCAGAGCTAAGCGTGGCCATTCCGGGGAATGGTAAGTCACAGACAACATGCGACCGACGTCTGGTTCGAGAGATTCGCTGACTGAATCGCGACTGTAACTTGCAACATGTTGCTCGCAGTCACTAGTCACTAGTCACTGGTCAGGTTGATTAGGTTGATTTTCTCACGTTCGCGCTGATCACGGTCAGGTGAATCTAAGTAGCTCAGTGAATTCGAACTTACGTCCAGCTTGAAAACCCCACTCAGCACTGATCCACCGCCGCCAACAAGAATATATCGTTTTTTGACATCCTTGCTCGTTTTGACTTCCATCCAACAATCGTTGGTTTGTTGAGGGACTTGAAAGTAGGTTGAACTTTCCTTGCTATGTCCCTACGGGTTTGTGCGTTTGATGATTACTGATCATGACCTGCCAAGTAGGTGACTAGGTCGAATATGCCACCCAATCGCGCTCGAAAGACTGCCCTTGCACCCCCCTACTGTGGTGAAGCCAGGAAAGATGACCTCGGAGTACACTTGGAGTATTGGGACACAGAGTTAGATACATGGACGAGGGCACCTCATTTCATCCCGGCGGAGAGTAGGCAGTGGGTTATTAAACCCAAACAACCGAAGGAAAGGCTAGAACGGAGTGTTGCGTTCGTTGAATTTAAACCAAATACAGTAAGTCCCCAGCGCTCAGCTTTTGTTGAAGACTCCCTAAACCACGAACAATATCGATGTGTTGCCAGCGTTTCCGCGTCGTTGTGGATGGCTATCGTCTACCTGACCGCGATCTCGTGATGTACGTCCACATAGATGCAACACCAACGTGTGCAACGAGATCATTGATAAAGGCCCCGCGACCACCGAGACATTCAACTTCGAAACGTATGACGAAGACCAAACGCCGTTTTGTTTCGGAGAGATCAAAGATTTCCCTGACCCCTCTTGCTCAACCACCCAAAGCAATCTTGGGACGATCAGGGCTGGACTTATAGCCCTTGAATCTCTTAGTCCCATGGCCAAAAGAGCGATATCTCGACACGCCACCGATCAGGCTGCCGGAAGGTACGCATCCTCCCAAGTCCTGGCAATCGATTGATAAACACAAATTTTCACGATCTCTAGCAAGGACAAGAAAGTTGACTATGAATGTATATACGATGAAAACCTCGCATCAGGAAAAAATGAACCATAGACGTAGCGGTAAGTACTCTCCGTAGCGAAAATTCAAGAGTTTAAGCCCCCCCCTGTAAGTACAAGTAAGTACAGTCAGTATACCCCCAGTTTCCAAAGCGTATCGCTCCGTACAGCTCCGTATAGATCTAGCCCAACTCACGTACAAGTGCGTATAGGTCCGTAGAGCCCTCAGATTTTCATGTAGGTCTCTATACAACTCCGTTTCGAAACATAGTAATACTAAACACTCGAAACTAGTCCACAGTGCTCGCCGCCACCAGCTACTTGACATAATGGGTGGGCCAAATTGGATAAAAATAAGATAGATTTTATTCGGACAGTACTACCAGTCAATATATGCCTAGCCTAGTACCGATCTGCCGTCACCCTTCCCTCATTCCCGATGCATGCCTCGTAAAACTCTCCCCTCCGTCCTCACTAGCCCGTACGAACACGGTACACTGGGGGAAGGAACCGTGTCAGAATAGGTAGAATACAACAATAAGATAAAGCCCGCACCTATGTCAAAACGTTTCCATGGGGCGCCTTAGATACGCACTGGATCTGCAATATGCGACGAGGGGTGAAGGGGACAGGATGCTAGAGTCGCGCGGCTTTGATGCGGGAGGGGAAGCAAGATTCAATGCAAGAAATTGGTACTCCTTATATACAGCCGATGACGTAGGTGTGGGGCAAGTAGATGGTGCCGATGCCGTGATGCTTTGGAGCTTGTCTCCAAGGGTCGGTCCGGGTCAGTGTGAATGGTTGGAGGCACCCAGTCCTCCTATGAGTCTGAAGGCTATTATTTCGACAAGATTTCTGGTGTATAGTGCGAGTCAAACCCCAATAAACATGCCCAAGACAGAGGTGATAACAGGATGAAGGAGAGTTTAAGAAATCAGGCGGGCAATACCCGTACTATTCATGGTCTCCGTATCCTTGACGTGGCCTGTACGCAGGTGTACGGAGCGGTGGCGGTAGCTGTACAGGTGCTACGTTGTGGAACGCATCCATCAGCCAGGCTCTACGGGCGCTCCGTACCCCACAGTGTATGGGTACGGACGCCACATCGAGTATGGAGAGGCCCACCGGGGCTACTTACCGAGATGTTTACTTTGTTTGGTATGGACTGCTGGCGGGCCGGTACGTTCACCTTTCCCTGTTTCCTGATGCGGAGAGATTTGTCTGCTATATCGTCCACGAGGTATGTCGCCGAGGTGACTCCCTAAAATCGTCGATCGTCTTTTAACCTCTGAGCGATGCTCGTCAGAGCTCATCACGTCTCAGCCTATCGTTTGGTACGAAGCCGATTCAACGGAGAAGGAAAACTCTGACGAGGGCTCCGGTAACGAAGAATATATACCGACAGCGGCAGCATTCAAGGCACGACAACTTTCACCAC